ACTGAAAAGCCAGGGAGATGTGGTGCTGAGGGACATGGTTTAGTGGTGGCCTTGGCAGTGCTGGGTTAACGGTTGGACTTGACGATCTTAAAGGTCTTTTCCAACCTAAACAATTCAATGATTCTAACCCTGCACAGGAATGTGTATCTTTTACGCTGAGGGTCATTAGCTCCTGCTGCAGGCTGATATTGACCGTGAGGCATCCCGATCCCCACGGACAATTCATGCAGGACACTTTGCAGGAGCAGAGTCTGGGTGAGAAGCTCCCCAGGACGCAGTGACACTAACACAGCAAAGGTGCCGGGGAACGGGGCAGCTGACGGGCACGAGGAGCCACCATAAACGTCCCAGGGCTGAACGAGTTCAGCAGAGCTCGAATTTACTCACTGAGGGGGTGGAGGGAGAGATCGAGAGATACAAGACTGTTCAGGCTCACTGCTGAAGCGTGTTATTAAGCAAACCCGATGACTGGGTAAGTTGCCAATTTTGGCAATGGCTGAAACCATTTATATATACCCTTTTTTTAAGAGAGAGATGCTGATGCAAGAGATGCCTCATACTCTCATGCTGGGAATGCCAACTCACTGGCATTACTATAGCAACTATATTTACGTTCAAGCTCTCTGTTATTTGCTCATAAGTCATTCCTAGGCAGTTTGCTAAGGAACTGAGGCTTAAGAGCTTGTGCAACCGTTGTATTTTTTTTGCCCACCCTAACTGTTTCAAATTGGCTAATTTCAACCAAATTTGATGGCAAGGCAGCAGTATCAAAGATACCGAGCTCCCGAAAGTTTCATGCAAAGTAAGTAGCTGGGTAAAGAGAAACATTAGCATCTCTATTCTGCCCCCAGGGGACAGGCCCCAGCGCAGGCTCAACCACGCCATTAGACATCAGAAAGTCCAGCGGGAAGAGAGCCAGTGAATGAATGCGGCAAAAAAACCCCCACGCTTGCATACGTGCATCTGGCATCCCCTTGCACGCTCCGCAGCACGGGCTGCTTTGGAGGCTGGGCTCCTGTTACTAAAGCGCACTCTCACTGTCATACAGAGGTTGAACAAATAGCTCGGCAGCCTTACCGGAACGGCTCTTCCCATCCTTCGCGTGGACATCAGCACCGAGGGACAGCAGCGTCTGGATGGTGTGCACGTGTCCTTCCTGCAGTGGTGAGCACAGGCACGTGAATTATTTATTCAGAACCAGCTCTACACAATTTCTGACCTTTGCATTTAGCAGAAATAACACAGGCCTGAAAAGAAAGGAGGCTGCAAGCGATCTGTCCCTGACTGCATACGGCACCTGGAAGGGCACAGACATGGATCCACGCTGTCATGGACAAACCCGGGGCTACCAGGAGCTGCTCCACAGGACCTTACAGCGGCTGGAAATCAGGGTCGGCTGCCTGTGGCAGTGCAGATCGAGTCCATTAGCCAGGGATTGCCCAGGCACAGCAGATACGCTGCCGTTACCCTACAGGAATTGGTCACAGAGATGCCACCAGGCACCTTCTCCAGTCCTCCTGCTGGCAGCTCACGAGAGGAGTCAGAGCTTGGCCCTCGGTCAGCGTGACTGCATGCCTCGCGTGCCCCTGGCAGCAATTTCGACCCAGAGGCTGAAAAAAGGAGTAAGAGGCATCCCAGGAGCATAATTCCCTCTGCAAACATTTAACACGATGTTTTAAAATCAGAAGTGTTCAGTTAAGACCCGTAGTGCTTCAAATCACGCTACGGCGCAGAGGTGTCTCTGGTGGTGGTAATACAGCCAAAGACTGAGAGCAGTGCCTCAGCAGGGCAGGCATGACAGACACACAACCCAGTCCAGATCCAGGCAGGTGGATCTGCTTTTAGACAACTGTAGATCCCATATGATCTTCCTGATCATGGTAAAAAGATCCACCTTGCACAGCCGGGACCTTGAGGGGTGAGGAATTTGGAGGACTGTCTCCCAGCGCGGCTTTGCTTTCGCCGGTGGCTGCAGAGGAGTTAACGCACGAACGACCTCTGACTTACAACTGGGTGACACAACCTAAAGATGTTTCTTAATAGCAAATTAGCACACTAATTTGTCAAACGATCTTTTCCTCTCCAGTTCTCGCCTCCAATCAAGTAACTCGATTAAATTGCTTTTAACTTCAGCTGGCCACGGCTGTAGGATCCCTGACTTACCTTTCGTAATTGGCAGCTGGCTGTTTGTCAAAAGGACTAAATGTCAGCAAAAAGCCGTGCGTTTTCCCACACTGTAAATTCACTTCAAGTACCACGGGGATCTAGAGTTGCTCTTACTGAGGTGTATTTCAGCTCAGAGAGCAGAACCTGTTGCCGATGTGAATTGTTGCGCATCTGCCTGCAGTACCCTCAGGCACCGGCGTTTCCTAAAGGATTACTCCAGTATTTGTAACGCCCCGTGAGAAGACGCAGAACACCACGCTTACACGCCGTCGCGACCCACAGTGTCCTCTATCTTTCCTCTGCCGGTAGGCAATTTTAAACGCTGCAGAGGAAAATGCAATACAGCCCCCGCACCCCTCCTCTCTCCACAAGCTTCTCCATAAATAAATCCTCTCTCCCTCAATAACACGCCTGATTTTGTAATTACTTCTTCAATGCAATGAATTAGCCTTTGTCGTGCGGCATGAGAATGGAAGGCCCTTATTTTTATCCCCACCACCCACTCTTTTCCCCCATTATCGTACGACTCAGTAGCATCTTCCCCCCTGCTCAAGGCTCCCATTTCCCTGCTGCATGCACACCCCCTCTCAGTGGCAAAGACAGCAAGCCAGGAACTGCTTTAGCTGCCACAGCCTTGGCAGCAAATTGAGTTGAAAGCGTAATTTGATTTTCATGTATTTATAAATGCAAAGTAATAAGAAAAGAAGAAAAAAAAAAAAAACCAGCAGCCAAACAAATGATGCTGTAAATATAAAGTGACACTGAGCCTCGGGAAGGAAGAGAAACCCATCAAATCGCTCCCCAATCAGCCACTCACCAAGACAGAGCTGGGATCTTCTCCAAGGCACATTATATTCCCCAATAGCCTTGCTGTTAAACGTACCCTTGGCAACCAAAAGGGCTTTCAACATGGTTTCTCAGAGCATGAGGACGGGAAGCTGGGAGAAAGGCCTCCTTTGTGGGAGCCAGCAAATGCCACGGCTGGGTCCTGCTGGAGGAGAATACTGTTGCCAGCGCTCCCAGTAAGTGTCATTGATGCTTTTGTAGGAGTGGGGCACTGGGATGCTGCTTCGTTCCCACTACAAGTCTAGACCAGGCTTTGAGTGCTGCATGTTAAAGCTCATGAGGTTTAACACGCAGGGATCTGAGCAGGGACCTTCCCTTGCTGCCAGCTGCCGGCACGCTGCACACTGTGGTGAGACAGCACCAAGCAGAAGGGAGGCAGCAGGGTCCCAGGAGGGATCCTGGTCAGCGGTGAGGCTTTTGGGATCTGCTCTGCGCTCCCAGGGAGCGTCGCAGGACCCGCAGCCCACCAGGCCCCGCTTCCCACACAGGCGTGAGATGGGAGGAGGAGAAAGCTCAAACGACTCTCACTGCCTGGAATTCAAAACAGCTCCTGTGCGAAGGACACAGATAAGCACCGGGAGCTCCCTCCGCTTTTCCACCTCTCCTTTCTCACGTCTGACCATGGGCAGGCCAGAATCCAACCTACTGGGCCAAAGAGCTGCTGTTTCACAGCGCATCAGCCATCTTCTGTCCAGCAAGCTGCTGACATGGAGACTGGCCACTGACCCACTATGACCCAAACTGCCAGGGCTGAAGAAAGACAGAGAAAGAAATCCGAGCAGTGTTTCATCCACGTCTCCTCTGCCAAGTCAGTGAGAAGACGCTGGTCAAGAACTGTCACAGCTTATGAACTGTTGGTACCTACAGCTCCCAATAACTAGCAGGATGGACTCCCTTCAGGTATTACACTTTGGTCCAAAGGCAGCAGACTGGAAGAGTAATGCTCACCAGAGGTGTGGATCAAGCCCTGCACGGCCAGCGCAGTCAGCGGCGTGGGCAGAAAAGTGGTGAACAGAGCAACTCGGATACCCAGCACCACTCTGCAGAGAGCTGGACATGCTTAACGAGGGTCTAAAAACCATTAAACAGGGTATGGGACTGGTCAGGAGCAGACAGACAGTGGCAGAGGATGAGCTAGGAATGTAAATCCTCCATCAGTGGCGAACATCTAAACCAGCTTGTTTTAGATGCCTGCCTGTAGCACACCAAACTGGCAAAGACTTTGTAGAGGAAGCCTGGGAACAGGAACAAACCTTGGCTGCGTAGTGCAATGCTGTGAGTTGGAGGGCCGTCGCTCTCTTGTTGACATCGATGCCCAGCTCAGAGACGAGGAACCGGATGGCTTCATCCTGGGCCGTGACGGCTGCCCGGTGCAGAGGCTGAGCGCCCAGCGCGTCCACGGCTGTAGGGCAAGCCTGGAATGGGGAGGAGGGAAACAGAAAGCAATGAACAGCCTGGCCAAACCTTCAAGGGCGATCCCCAGCCCAAGCAGAATCGTGTCTGCCGGCCACGGTGACGACAATGAACATGTGGGATGTCACCAGCAGGACCGGCGCAGTTGGTAGCACCATGATCTGCAAACCAGAGCCAGCTCTCTGCTGAGCTTGTTAAGTGATAAGCAAAACCAGTGCCAGAAAAGAAGAACCAAGCCCCTTCTCTCTTCAGTTGGAACACATACGACGAGTTTCAACTCTTTAGAGCAGCAAGAAACAACCCATGTCCAGCCTCTGTGCTGGTGGAGAAGAACTTGGACAGAGGTAGAGGGAGGGAGATGAGTGGATGACCTCATGAGATCTCTTCTGTGAGAACCGCAAAGACGTAAAATCAAGAAGGGTAACGGAAGTAATACACAGTGCGCTCATCTTAAAAGGATATAATCCAGCCTCTTGAAGTCTAGTGGGCCTGACTCATGGCTTTATAAAACCTAGAAAGTAGCAACATTGCCATTAGCGTTTCCAGTGCTGCTTCATGGCAGTAAGCCAGGGCACCACAACGAGGAAATTAAATCAACTATTCCATCTTTATTGCTTGAAATGTGAGGCTAAAAACGTAAGCAAACTTCACAAATATTTTATCCTGTAAGGGCCAGATGAGCAAAGACAAGCACATGAATGTCTCCTCAAGTCAACAAGTATCTGCGCACTCGAACACAACCTGGGCATCAAACCATCTCTGCCGGGTGAGGCCGCATGTTCCAGCTGAGTGAGTCCAAAGCCTGGGATCTTGAAAAGTGTGGTACCAGCTTCCCTGGCCCAATCCGTGCCGTGCTGGGGGCTCAGCTGGCCAATTCAACCTGCCAGTGTGGCACAAACAGATTCACTGGTTCTCCCATGCTAGCTTTCTGCCAGGCCAGTGAGCTGCACCAGTTCAGCACGGTGTCCGACGAACACCAGAGCTGGGGCAGGGGAGAGGCAAAGTGAGGGCAAAGTAGGTGAGAAGGGAGGCACAACCCCACCTCCGTGAGAATCAGCCATTAGGTGGGCTCCAACCATCTCGCATCAGTTCAGCAGTCAATAAATAACGCAGCGGCCTGGTTCCTGCTACGCACAATTGGCTCTAATGACATCCCTGTTACGCCTTGATGTTGGAGGAAATCGGAGATTACTGGGAGACAACACAGGAGCAGCAGCTGCCACAGGAGAGGGAGGCCAGAGACGAGCTGCTGCCGGCGCAGCCAGGCGCCTCCGTGTTATCCACGGCACTGCCACGAGAGCCTCCACGCCAAGCCCTGGCACTCCCGAGCGCTGGTCTGGGCTTTGCCACAGTTGCCCCTGCAGTGCTGGGCAAGTCCTGTCCTCTCCTGCCACCGCCTTGTGTCTCCATCCCCCTTCACCAGCTATAGGGACATATCCCTGTCCCTGGATGAGATCTTCACCATGAGCTGAGTCCTGGTGGCCTTACTCTGCAAGATCTTGCTCATCTCCAGGAGGAATTTGCCTTTTTTCGCAATTCACTTCTTTACAATTTGGGAATTTGCTTCTTTACAATATGGTTATGGTGAACGAACGCATGGATTGCCTGTTCTGGCAGTTTTAGGTCAGGTCCTGGAGGAGGGAGGGGAGGCTTTTGGCACCTACCTGGTGTTTTTCCAGGAGCAGGCAGGCAATGTTGACGTGCCCGTTCTGGATAGCATCCATAAAGGGAGTGACTCCACATTTGTCTCTGCTGTCAGGTTTGTACTGGCATCTGGGAGAGAAGACAAAAGCCAGGACAGAGTTGTTGGCGGCTCTACAAACCCTTACTGCACCAGTTGCTTTGCACTGGTGGGGCAGGAGACTATCAGCAGATGGGATGGGAAATGGCAGATATAAAGCCTGCCCGTAGACCATGCATAAACCTATCTCGGTGCTTTATGGCTCGGGGTACGGTCTGCTGGGGTTTTTTGGGCCAGAGATCTGGTACTCAGCCAGTGCAGCTTGCTCGTGCTGCAGGAAAGCCAGGGCTCTACAGATCATTTATATTTCCCTTGCCCCCTGAACAGAGGATCTCTAGAAGGGGTAAGGCGTGCACTGGCAGAGAGGAAAACCCTATCTTCATGTAACACCACCACACAGAAAATCAAAGCCCATAGGTCTCGTCAGGTTAAAGCTCCATTGAAATGAGAGAAGACTGAATTAGAATTGAAAGCCTGGCCCAAATCACAGGGCTATGTTTATGCTGGGCCAAGCGCAGACAGGAATTAACAAGGCTGGGACGAGTCGGCTAACGGGAGCTGTGGCTAGCAGCAGCTGCGACGCCCGGGGAAAGCTGCTCCAGCTCTGGCAGCAGCAGGCAGCGCTGGTTAGGAAGGTAACAGGGTCAGGATGACTGGGCACGGGCTGATTTAAAGCCGCTTCACTGCAGTCTCTCTCCTGAAAATAAAGCCTGGAGGCTGAGTCCAGCCTGGAAGAGCTGCACCCAGAACCGAGCTGCCAGCAAACTGTTTTGTTGTTATCGTATGGCCTCGGAGACATCGGAGGCAACGGGAATGAATCAGCACAGAAAAGGAGCCGAGTTATATAACCGGGGTTTATGTCATAGCGAAGTCAGAGCCTATCGGAGCCCATCCGGAGAGCGTCCTTGTCTCAAAGGCCCCTAACTGGCTGCAAAAAACCCAGAGGAAATGGAGACGGCCTCGGGATCGCATGCAGGGCAGCTGTGCAACCCGGCTTCCCGAATGGCATAAACGTCCTTTGTGTCCGGGCGGCTGGAGCGAGCCTGGCGGTGGATGGGAGGCGGGGGAGAGCGGGGAGGCAGAGGCAGTGCCGGGAGGAAGCTTGCTTACCGCTCCAGAAGCAGCTCCACAACGTCAAAACAGCCATGCATTGCTGTGAGAACGAGAGAGAAGCGCAGGGTTAATTTATGTTTTCATGCCACCGTCCGTGAAACATAAGCAGGTTTCTGACCCTTTTGGCTTACTCATGATGAGGGAAGGGGTTCCAAGAGGCTTTAAATTCAAAGCTTTTGATTTTTTTTTTTGTTAATTAAAACATTGTCTCCAGATCTGGAGCCTTCCCTTCCCCTGATCCTATCGGAAAACACCAGATAAAACAAGAAAAAGGCATGCATATAGGCACCGTTTGCCTCTACCTGCAGAGTGCATGCATGAGACCATACAGGCAATTAAGCTGACACAAAGATCTTTTCTTGCAAGTATTTGTTAATCCCTGAAGTGAAATCCGTGAGAAGCAAAATGAACACAAAGCAGAGAGCTGGTGAATAGCTGGATGGCATTTCCACCCCTCCTCAGCCACCCAGACTACCCATCGCTCCCATCTCATCATCCTAATGAAGCATCCTCACCCAGACAGCATCTCAGAGGAAAAACAACAACAGTGGGGGAGGATTTGAACATCATGCACTGAAATATTCTCTTTTTTTTTTTAAAAAAAACACATCGTATTACAGCAATGTAAGGACAGCCTTGATCTGGCTTTTTTTTTCTGCAGGTCGTTTTGCAAAACAAATGAAATACATTAAAGAAAAAAAAAATCAAACCAAGCCTGGAGCTGCTACATCAGGCTATTTACTCCGTGAGATGGAAGAAGGGCCCCTGGCAAATCTGTGTTACCAGCAATAACCTTCAGACACAGCTGTACAATAGATGCTCTCTGAAAGCCCAAGGAGGGGTTCCCATCCTCCCAGATCTTGCCCAGTTTGCTCCTGCTCCCTGCCCATTTATCACCCCTTCACCTGAGCTGATGTAAATACAGGCAGAGCCACATTGTGAAAAGGATTTTTGAAATGGAGGCTTTAAAAAAAAAAAATACAAGCTATGTGAAGAAAAAAACACCCCAAGCAACACGATTACACCCTTTAACAGCAACAGAGACACAAGAAAGCTGCAGTGCTCAGATCCACTCTTGCATTCCACTTCCTCTAATTACATCTCCTCCGCTCTCTTGCCTCAGGCTACGGATATATGAAGCAGCAAAGCTTGAGGAATCAACCCAAAAAAACCCTGCACGGAGGGGGGGAGAAAATTACCCATCATCTATCCAGGGATAACTGTGCCAGGAAGCCAGCTGGACTGGTCACGGGTTAACGTGCTCATATCCACACCCTTGGGACGTAAACTCATTGAGACGGCGGTTCGTCTTGAAAACGATTTCCCCCGGCAGCTCCAGCATCGTCTCCGGCCCCTTGCCCATGCCCCCGCCTCAGGAGCGGTGTCTGTGTAACTGGGTTACACGGTGATGTGCATGGGGATGCTGCTGGCACCAGCACCCACTGAGCAGCAGCCCCCAGCATCACCCTGGGTTAAAATTATGCAGGGGGCGAAGGTGGTTTAAGCAGCTCCAGCCCTTCCCTGCCCAGTCACTCCTGCACCGGCTGCTGCTCCGCCAACGTGTGGTCCAGGGTCTAACCTGGATCGGTAAAATGCCCAGAAATCAACCCAAATCATGGGTTGATGGCTTTGCCACAGTGAAAGTCAAACATAGGAGGCAACACAGAGGTGGAGACACCTCAGTGAAGCAGTGAGAAGCAGGCACTGGATCCCACCGTCGCTGTCTGTACCCCCATATCCCAAGCGCTACAAGGCAGCGAGGAGACTTTAAGCTCAAGGTCAAAAGCACCCTTTTTCCTCAGGACAGTCCTCACCCTGCTCCTGACCCTGTCCCCACATCCTCAACCCCCAGATCCCAACCCAACGGCCACCGCTCTGCAGAGAGAGTGCTGAGAGGGGGCTGCGAGCCCAGACACGGAAACACAAGACCTGGGATTGAGCAGGGACGGGAGAACACGCAAATAAACGAGGATTAGCCATTTCTCATTCAGGCAACCCGCTCCTCGCCGCCCAGCCTGAAACATCAAACAACTCATCAGCTATTTTTCATTCCCAGGTCAAGCACAAGGACTAAGGCGCAGCCAATGCCCCTGGGCTGGGACTGTCACTGCAGATGAGCACAGTGTGGCAGACAGGCGGCTACTGAGGGACGGAGAAGTAACGGGAACGACAGCCAAGGAGCGAGATACCCAACAGATTAATTACAGCACAGCAGGGGTCTCCTCACGATACCTCGGGTCTTTCTGGAGAGTCGATCCCTATTAAATTTTTTGGGAAATGCGTTTAGGTAGCTGCAGCTTTGAGTGGTGGCTCCCCATGCTCATCTCTTCTGCGGGGGTGCTGCCGAGCCCTGGGACGCACAGCCTAATCCCCGCTCAGGGATGCGGCACGGTTCAGGTTCAGGTCAGCCACCACCCTCCAGCCCCACAACATCACCCTGACTTGGTGTCCCACACCTCTCCCGTCACTCACTCGCTCCCTTCATCCTCCACTGCATCTCTGGAGGGCAGAGTTAAGGGGATTTAAGCTCCGGGAAGACCCATGCTTTATCTGCACAGGTCTGTGGGTAACCAGACCTGATATTCTGTAAGGGGTAATGAGGCACGGCAGGACAAACTTAATTCTGCATTAACATATTTTGGGGCCATTCAACTCCTTAAGGCTCAGAGGACTTAAGTGAGGCACACCTTGTGCATCGTTCATAAATTAAAATGAATCACTCCCCCATCTTAAGGATAAGAGTCAGAAAGCCAGAAACCAAATCCAAACTGCCTCTGGGTCATCGTTCAGCTAACTGTGTCCTTCTGCTCCCCACCGTGCCTACAGATGATGTCTGTGGTTCCTCCAACCAGTTCACACCCTTTATATGTCCTTTTAAACCAATGAAAAGGGCAGGGTGGGGGAATTGGACACGAATTCCCAGCAGAGACTATCCTGTTCCTTTGCGGAAAGGCACCCTGCATTTCTCACCACTCAACGCTACCTTCTTAAAAGCAACGTGAGAATAACAAAACCTGTGGTGCTTCTTCTGGAGGTTGTGCCTAGAGACCCTACGGTTCTACAGATTTGCCACAATGACCTAAACCACCAAGCGTTTGGACAAAAACGGATCATTTCGAGACATACGTCTCTTACAAAAACTGACGACGAGACTATAAACCAAACTGGTAAAAATGTCCATGAAAAGGCAGATCCAAAAAGGTGCCTCTCAGCACCTGTTTTAGTTTTAGGATTTTTAAAATGCCAGGATATGCTTGGAGCCTTGCAGATTTTCCAAGTGCAATTCGCAGCTCTATACGCCAGCAAGGAAAAGCGTTACTGCAGCGTGTTCTGAGCCGTGGGAGCTTGGACACCTCTGTCACAGGGAGGCAGAGATGGAGACGAACACCCTGGTCCAAGGAGGCCAAAGTCAGTGGGTGATCACCAGCGCTCCTGGCGCAGATCCACCACTCCCAAGAGAACATAACTGTCACGCACCACAAAAACACGCTTTGAGTACAGGCAAAATCCGGTGAAATGGGAACTCAGGACCCTCCAACCTCACAAACTCAGCCTTTGGCACATCATTAAGAAATATTAAGCCTAATTCTTGCTGTTTATTTATCTGAAAGCAACTAAAATGAGTGTCTGTCCCGAGGTGAAACCCTGCAAAGATGCAGCAGAGCACAGAGAGGTGAGCTCCCACTAATGCCCACCACTAGCCTTTCTTTTAATTCATTTTCATTTAATTTCAGTAACTTAATATTTAACCATTTCCCTGTGTTTTTGCATCAAAATAAAGGTCACACTTTGCTTCTCCAAACTAAACGTGAACTGAAACAAAGCCCCTTTCTGTTCTCTGCTGCCACCACAGCCTGCTCTTCTCTTCCAATGCACCTGGTGGAAACGGGACCCTCTTTTACCTGCTGTGTGCAGAGGCGTTCTCATTATCGTGCTCTCTGTGTCCCAGCTGCTCGGGGACACGTCCAGCAGGTACTGGAGGACCTGGGGATGGCCCTCCCGGCTCGCGATATGGAAGCAATTCCAGCCGTCCTTGTTCTTCAGCAGCGGGTTGGCTCCATGCTCCACGAGAGCTTTGATCACCTCCAGGTTTTGCCTGGTGCAAGCCATCATTAGGGGAGTCCTGAAAGAAAGACGAGGCAAATATAATAGCCAGAGACAGCGCCGTACGAACCTGATGGCTTTTGTTCTAAAATTGGAGCTTGAAGCATGATTTAAAATTGTCTGTAGCACCAACTACCCTGTCTAATAAAACATAGTAGCTCAGTGCTGGCTGTGGTAAGCCAGTCAGAAGGAAAACTGATGTGCTAAAACCACTCTGAGGTAGTAGGAAACTTTGCTGGCTAAAGGCAAAGACCTTCTCGAAGCCCGAGGCGAAATTTATCGTCTCACCTGTATTCAGATGCTTTGACTGAGGCTCACCACGCGCTGCCTATGGATCCATGAGGTTTTACAGCACTGTTTTTTCATGTGGGTTAACAGGGGTCTGGACTTTTGGGGACTGTTGAGACAGAGCTGTTAACCTCACCGTTTCTTACCCCAGTCAGACCCCCAGACAGGCAGCTGTGGCTGCAGGCAGCAAACCACAGACAACTCCGCATCTCCTGGCAGTAGGGCATGAGTGTACCAGCAAATGAGACTCTGGAACATTTCTGATGTAGAGCAGCTGGCCTGAGAGCGAAGCTTTTCACAGTTTTGTCCTGTTTCACATGTCTGGGAGCAACCTTTGATATTTAAAAACATTTTTTACAAGCTCCCCAGGGGAACAGCATCTTCTCCATCCCACAATTTCCGAGCTGTGCCTTGCACGGATTGCGTGTGTGCTCCTGGAAAGCCAGTGGGAACATCTGACAAATAAACACGACAAACAGCCCATCTCGCTCTGCGTTCAACCCCATACCCAGCGATGACCACGTTTTCGCACCTATAACCCACACGCTGCGGATTAACAACCACCCCAGCTCCTGCTTGGCAGCAGGGCAGGTTCACCACTGAGTTTCTCCTCCCTGGTGACCCGTTATCTCCTTGCCCATCCTTTCCCGCTGAGGACCAGTGTGGTTCCTGGATCTGCAGCCTCCTTTGGAGGAGCGAGCCCAGAGCCATCGAGGCGAGCGTTAGCCGAGGGTGTACTCGCAAGGCAAAGCGTGGGTAAGTCGAGGTGGTGAACCCACAGACACCTCCCGTGTTTGGCTTTACTTAAGTGACTAATTTCACCGACCTCACTAGCACCAACCCCTATTTTCCTCAATTACCACATTATATAACAATAACAGTTTAACTGCTGCGAGTGGGAGCTGCATTCTCCATTTTATCTGTTTATAAACTTCACCCAACCATCGAACGCTGGGTGCGCGCACGGATCGGACAGAAACCTCTGAGCTTTTCCGGAAAAGATGAACGCTTCTCCAGCACGGAGAGGGCTTATCTCCTCTTCACCAACCCACATACGTCAGCTGCGAGACAAAAAAACCCAAACCCTCCATTCCTCATTCAGGAAAAGCTGCGGCACAAAAACTTCCCACTGCACAAGGAATAAGGACTCCTGGGCCTAAACTGCAGGGAGAGAGATTTGGCTTAGACATTAGGACAAATGCTCCAGTTGTGAGGACAGATAAGGACAAGAAGAGAGTGCTGAGAAGGGAGATAAAATCTCCATCGCTGGAGATTTTTAAGAAGAGATTAGACACGCATCTGCTGGGGACGATGGGGCAGAGCCGAGCCTGGAGCTCCTGGTTTCCTGCAGCTCCGTTTCTATACTGTGCCTCGGAGCAGCATATATTTTCAATGCAAATGAGACTCTGTCCGAAGGCTGGGACATGCGCTAACAAGCACGTAGCTCCCCGGTTTTAATCCGTGGATGGAAGGATACTGCAGGCCTATCAAAGAAAACCAGGCTCGCACACGCGTCTGCACCCAGCTCACGAGATCTCTGCCTCCCTCTGCTCCCCCTGATGTCAGCGTGACAGTGGCACAGCCTCAAATTACGAGGACTGGGATGCTGCCTTTGTATTTGTGTTAGTTCAGTTTCAAAACAACCTCCCCGGGCTTTTATTTGTGGGCTGGGGAGAATCTTTGCTTTCTTTTGCAAAGTGGTACACAGAAATCTCCCTCCCCAAGAGGAGAATCTGACATTAATCAGGCCTGCTGCTTGTCTGTGGATTAAGCTTTATTTTTTATTCCCAATTCTCATTCCCTCACCATTTGCTTACGTGTTACCCACGTGGCAGGCAAACAAAAGCCCTGAGGAAACCAGTTGTTTCTTGGGTTGCTGAGGCTGTTGTTATTATATCAGTAGCAAATCTGACCTGAGAAGCTCTGTTTGCTGGGGGAAAACAGGAGTAAAACTTAGTTTTTATCTTCTTATTTCAGTTTCTGAGGACTGGGACACAAAATGTGAATCAGCATCACCGATTCCCATCAGACAGGGGAATGGGGAAGAACAAATCGCTGCGGATGAAAGCTTTTAAATTGGATCTGCTAAGGAAGCAGTAATTTACAACTTCTATGATAAACAGGGGAGGAATCAGTGATAGGGCTGGAATTTAGCCCAGCAAGCCAAGCATATCCTGGCTACATCACCCGCAGCGTGGCCAGCAGGGCGAGGGAGGGGATTCTGCCCCTCTGCTCCGCTCTGGGGAGACCCCCCTGGAGCCCTGCGTCCAGCTCGGGGGTCCTCAGCACGGGAAGGACATGGCCCTGTGGGAGCAGGGCCAGCGGAGGCCACAAAAATGCTCAGAGGGCTGGAACAGCTCTGCTGTGAGGACAGGCTGAGAGAGCTGGGGGTGTTCAGCCTGGAGAAGAGAAGGCTGTGGGGAGACCTTATTGCGGCCTTCAGTACTTAAAGGGGGTTTAAGTAGGCACAGGCACAGCCTGTTGTGATAGGTAATGGTTTTAAACTAAAAGAGGGGAGATTCAGACTAGATGTAAGGAAGAAATTTTTTACGCTGAGGGTGGTGAAACACTGGCACAGGTTGCCCAGAGAGGTGGTAGACAGCCCAACCCTGGAAACATTCAAGGCCAGGTTGGACGGGGCTTGAGCAACCTGATGTAGGTGAAGATGTCCCTGCCCATGGCAGGGGGGTTGGACTGGATGGCCTTGAAAGGTCCTTTCCAAACCATTCTGTGATTCCATGATTCTACATGACAGCTCCTGCAGTCACATTCCCACTTTCCGCATCCAAACCTCTTTCAGATATCGTTCTGATCAGCGGCAAAGCAAGCCAGTGACCTACCAGTCTGCCTTTTTCAAGCAGTCTACACTCGCGCCTCTCTCCAGGAGGTAGGAGACACACTCCTCATGGCCCATGGAGGCGGCTTCGTGGAGGGGTCTTTTGTAGTCGCTATTGAACACCTCAACATCCATCCCCAGCTTCTCTACCAGGTAGGCGAGGACGTCCCGGTGCCCGTAGCGGGCGGCGTGGTGCAGCAGCGTGTCCCCTGAGCGCCCGTAACGCTGGCTCCGCACCGCTGGGCCCAGCGCCTCGTCCGGCCGCAGCTCGTCGCGGAGAAGGTCCAGCCGTCCCTCCTGCACCAGCCGGAGGAGCGGCCTCGGCCTCTCCCCTTCCGCCATGGCTAGGGACCTGGAAGAAGAGGCAAAAATCAGGATTACGGTTTCAAACAGCGTGAATACAATGGCTGCTCCCTTGGTCGGGATAAACAGAAATTACCTTTTCCCTCAGGAAAAACAGAACCTGGCCGCTCCCTCCAGAAAAACAGAAAATTTCCCTCAGCAAAGCCACAAACCAGCCTCTCCCTCAGGATAACCAGAAATTTCTTTCTCCCTCCAGAAAACCAGAAACTGGCCTCCCCTTCAGGAAAACAAAAAATTTCTTCTCCCCTCAGGAAAACCAGGAACCTGCCTCTCCCTCAGTAAAAGCAGAAATTTCCTTTTCTCTTGGGCAAACTAGGAACGGGTCTCTCCCTCCAGAAAACAAGAAATTTCCTTTCCCTTAGGAAAACGAGGATCTGACCTCTCTCTCAAGAAAACCAGAAATTCCCTTTCCCCTCAGGAAAACCAGAAATTCCCTTTCCCCTCAGGAAACCCAGAAACCAGCCTCTCCCTCAGGAAACCCAGAAACCAGCCTCTCCCTCAGGAAACCCAGAAATTTCCTTCTCCCTCAGGAAATCCAAAAACTGGCCTATCCTTTAGGAAAAATAGAAACTCCCTTATCCCTTAGGAAAACCAGAAATTTCTTTTTCCCTCAAAAAAAACCAGGAACCAGCTTCTACCTCCGGAAAAACAGAAACTCTCTTTCCCCTCCGGAAAACCTGAAATTTCTTTTTCAGTTAGGAAAATTAGAAACCGGCCTCTCACTCAGGAACACCAAAAATTTCCTTTTCCCTCAGGAAATCCAGAAAATTACTTCTCCTTCAGTAAAACCAGAATTTTCCTTTTCTCCTCAGGAATACCAGAAACTGGCTTCTCCCTCAGGAAAAAAAAAAAAAAAAGATGAAATCTCTTTCCCCTCAGGAAAACTAGAAATTTCCTTTTCCCTTAGGAAAAATAGAAACCAGCATGTCCCTTAAGAAAAACAGAAATTTCCTTTTCCCGTGGGGAAAAAAAACAAATTGGCCTCTCCCTCTGGAAAACCTGAAATTTCTGAAGGAAAAGGAAGTTCTTTTCCCTTAGGAAAACCAGAAACCTGCCTCCTCCTCAGGAAAAACAGAGATTCCCTTTTCCCTCGGGAAAAACAGACAATTCCTTTTCACTCAGGAAAACCAGGAACCGGCCTCTTCCTCCAGAAAACCACTAATTACCTTTTCCCCTCGGGAACTGTCAGAAACCAGCCTTTCCTTTAGGTAAATCAGAAATTCCCTTTCCCCTCAGGAAAACCAGAAACTGGCCTCTCCCTTACAAAAAACAGCATTTCCCTTTTCCATCTGGAAAACCAGGAACAGGGCTCTCCCTCAGGAAAACCAGAAATTCCCTTTTCCCTTAGGAAAACCAAAAGTTTCCTTTTCCTCTCAGGAAATCCAGAAATTTCCCTTTCCCTCAGGAAAACCTGAAATTGTCTTTTTCCTCTGGAAAACCTGAAATTGCCTTTTTCCCTCAGGAAAACCAGCCTCTCCTTCAGGAAAACCAGAAATTCCCTCTTCCCTTAGGAAACTCAGAAAATGACCTCTCCTTCAGGAAAACCAGAAATTTCCATTTGCCTCAGGAAAACCAGAAACCAGCCTCTCCCTCAAGAAAAAACAACAATTTCCTTCTCCCTCAGGAAAAGCAGAAATCCCCTTTTCCCTCAGGAATACCAGGAACCCGCCTTTTCCTCAGGCTGGGCACCCGCCACATTTCCCTCCCCTCAGCCCACGTCGTGCAGGTTCGCCGGCGCTTAGAACCCACCCGCGCTCTGCTGGGGTTGTGTGACGTCACGCGTGGCAACACGCGGCGGCGTGATGCCACTCCCGGGGTACAAGGGGTGACGATAAACAAACTCCGGGAAGGTTGCTCTCGGCCCCAACGGCGTTGACCCGCCCGCCCGCGGACGCGTCCGAACCCGGAAGAGCTGCGCCATTGGGCAGCGCCCGGTCTCCGCGCGTTCTCTGATTGGTCAGCGGGGCGGGGC